CATTGAAGGCGCAGAAGTCTGAGAAGAGTTCACCATTGTCGTTCATTTCACCGAGGGCCTCACGACCCATGGTGAGTTCTCTTCCTGTGTTGTCTCCTCCCAGCTTCGCATTCATGTCGCCCATCAGGATTTTGATATCGCCATTTGGGACGTTGTCCATTATTGCTTGTAGTTGTCTGTAGAACGCCTCCTTCTTCTCTTGTTCTGAGACGTTTGTAGGCGCATAGCATTGAATGACTGTAACTTTCCTTCCTTTTGAGTTGAACCTGGCTGTCATTATCCTGGAGGAGATTGGTTCCCACTGCATGAGAGCTTTGGCTGCTGTTGGTGACATCATGATGGCCACTCCCTCGGTGTGCTCATGGTTGTCCTCTGGGTGGCCGGAAAAGATTACTGTCTCTCCAGTTGGCACCTTCCAGTTCCGTTCCATCTGCTCTCGCAGATTCCCAACACTTCTATTCTGTACCTTCTCATTTCAGCGGCTATCTGGGCAGCCTTTCCAGTTTCGTACATTGTACGAACATTCCAGGTACCCATCCTTACTTTTGCTTTCATCGAAAGAAGCAGGCACATCGGCTGACTGGCTTCCCGAAGGCTTTCATCAGCCTGCGTCATTTCACTTCTCCGATTCCAGCGCAAAATGAGGCTATTGTTTATATTTTTAGAATTTTTAATATATTTATTCGTTGAAGTTTCTGTAGCGATTTGGTTGTTTTACGGGGGTGGAGTTGCTAGCACCGTGCCCCAACCCTCCCTCTTTACCCGGGCTTGGGACCGGCTAGAAAACTAGCAAGCTAGTAGTCTAGGTGACGCTGGAAACTTAGCGAGCTACTAATCCGAGCGAGGTCAGATGGGGGAAGATATACCTAAAATGGCCACTACTGATCCATTTGAAAGACGTGAGTTTGCGGGGATAATACTTGGTCTCCGGAGTGCTGCATAAAAATTCCCAAGGTTTATGGAAGACTTTCCTCGTGGATTGGTGTTCGCCAAAGCATACGCAAATGGCTTACTCATCGCTAACCCGGATATAAATACAAACGAAGACCACATTCGGACAGTATAACCGAAACCAGAAGACAAAGAAACGACAATCAATGAGAGTAGGTTTTGGGGGGGCAGAGACGAGAGAATCCCCAGGGCATGTCACTGCCACTACAAAGACCGAACCAACGCCCAAAGAGGAAGATACTATGCAACAGTATGCTCTATTCATATCCTTTACATATATACGGAGTTTTCTAGAGTTGGTCATCCCGTATCGCCGCTTTATTCCTGATTTCGCACAATCCATGCAGCTTCTGACTGATGCGGTAGGAGCTATGGGGAACCAAAAGAATTCCGGCTGTCAAAAGTCACACGACGTAATCGCACAGCTGGGAGAAACGTTGGTAGGGGCTACAATCCTGAAATATTCTAATCCGGATGATTCTCCTGCATTAATGGTAGACTCGCCAGATATAGCAGTGGAAATCACTCCAAATGAGCAAGTTGAAAATAACTTCCAACTAACTGCAACTATAACAAAACCTTATTTCAGAAAATATGTCAACTTAATACACAGAAATTTCGATGGACTTAGTTCCAAAATGTTTCCTGTTCACACAAGATTTACATGTATAGTAATAATCTGAAGCAAAGCATGTGACGAAGTGTTGATGAACATGGAGAGTGCACCAGATCTGTATGTTTTTCTTCATTTCTTCCAAGAATTGTACAGGATGTGTTAAAAACCAATAAAATGTGTGTTTGTTCATGCAGTGATTATTTGATATGGTTGCATGATTAAAACAACAAGAAAGAAGAGTTTGAGCATTCTTTTTTCCTTCACGTTCCCCAGTGGAACATAGGGCTTCAAGCTAGTGGCCTGAAGTTTCTGTAGCAGTGTTTATTTTACGGGATGGGGTTGCTAGCCTCATGCTCAACCTTTCCCCTTTACCAGCATTATTTCTGGCTTAGCGAGGTAAAGGAGTGCGTCGGTGGCCGGGGATCGAACCCCGGACCATGTGCATGGTCGGCGAGCGTCGTAACCGCTATACCATCGACGCGTTTAAGCATTCTGATAGATGGAAATTATCGTAGCCAATGGATTTAGGCAGGCCGAAGGTGAAATATCTGGTGGTATGGTCAAAGCTCGGGTGTAGCAGGACGGATGTCAACATAACGGTTGTAGGGCTTATTTCTGGTTGAAGCCGATTGGCGACGACGTCGAATTCTTCCAAACAGCCTAGCTAACTGGTTTCCTAGATACCTATAGAGTCAGTTTTCATGAAGAAGGACATATGAAGGCCCCATTAGGATAGAAAAACGGCGAAGATTTTAAGAATATGAAAGACTAACTAAGTGGGTCAAGGGTAATAGCAAATTGTTTCTGGGACTCACCATGCTTAAACATGCATTCTGGCCTTTTAACAGGTAGCTATGATGTGGAAGACAGTCATCACACAGTGCTTTCGCGTTCAGCATAGCAGGCTACAAAACAGCTGTGTAAAAAATTGATAAAACGCCTGTAAAATAGTGAAGCTTAACATCTGATACTGTAACAACATTCATCTGAGCACAAAACCATATCAGACAACTACCGGAAGAAATTCAAGCCGTAGTCGGCCGCCCCCGTTCAACGTATCCATATATGTTGGAAGTAGGACTCAGGGTGTTGTTACTCCTCCATAACTGTGTCCACTTACGTGTAAATTGGTATACAGTATGGAGTGTGACGTAATCACTTGTCCACTGTTGAGGAGTGTGGTGGGAAATCCTTCTGAATTTTTAAATGATCATAAACCATGCTTGTGATAAGTTTCAAGAGTGGTCAAGCTAAGTTTCCCTCTTAAAATTCTGTTTTATTTCCCATCGCAGAGATATTTGGTGTTGAGATATTTCTTTGGGAAATGGTTGGCCGTAGGCATTCAAGTTAACTGACCTACACCGTTCATAAAATTCAGAAGATATCCATTTAGACGAGCAGATCCATGAATACTTTATCCTTACCACTCATAGCATCCGAATTACAAATGCCGTGAATCTTCTTTAATAAGCGCTTAATCAAGCCTCTATTGTATTAGAACTGGCAGAAGCCGTGAAGATTTAGACGTTTTTCCTTCCAAGTAGGCTTCACATAAGTTGAGAGATTTGTTTATACTATTGTCGGCCCAAAAGCCTGTCAGCTGCTAGCCTGTATTGTGAAACAAAGTCATTTAGATAGATGGCCGAAAACCAGGAAGCAGAGGACAGTTGTTTCGACCTAGCCTGAGACCGTTCAGAACCTCACATTTACAAACCTAGCAGGTACTGAACCGAGGATGTTCAGATTGCAGAGCAGAATTATTAACCATCCCTCCTTTTGGGTCCAAGTTCAGTGACTTGCGAATCCTAGCTACATCAACCCATCATCTAAATACTAAAAGTATATCTTGAAATGAGATTTGGTTGCAACTCTCTTCCTCATATTTAAGACCGATGTTGTTGTACGTTCATTAGAGGAATCGTGTCTTCATACTCACAGCACACCACAGTCATATAGTCAATGTATCTCTTGTAAAAAGGCATCATAGCGATATAGTCACCAGCCATGACGTTGCGCAATAGCCAACAGAGACCCCGTAACAACTACGTCTGCCTGTCGAGTATGCCCCTCTTCATATGTGAAATTTACATTAATGGTGTTTGAAAGAAACACTAACTTTTTCGAAGCTTTGAAAAGAACAAGAACAAAAGTGTGCAGGTGATTCTTCACGTAAATCCTACAATGGAGGGTCTGTGGATAATAAGCATTTGAGCACCTAGATACCACCAGATATGTGGATAGGCTTAATGAATGAAAGACAAAGCAGCCTGGATGACAAAAACGACCTTCTTACTGGTTGGGTCCTGTTATAATCGTCGCCGAAAGGACTGAGGATGTTGACATTAACGGACAACGCAAGGTATGCTAACGCGAGATCTAATACCCACAGTTTCTGTGACATTCGTAAACCAAAGAAAAAGCAAAACCCCAGAAATGATGGTTCAGGTTACGAAGTACATTATGGGGATGAATCGGAGTGCGAGGATGATTGTTCACCTAGCTTGAAATCACTCACAAACAAACGAACTTAATGTGGGTGCTTAACCGTAAGCCTTCAGCTAAACAAATGGACTTAAGCGGTGACGATTGGCATCAAATGTTCAGTGATGAACGCTGTGGTTAATAATTCAGGGGAATTAACTACCGCCAAAACCCCTAATAAAGAGCTGAAGTTCGGAAAAAATTTACTCTTTTTTTGTTTAAGAGTCTGACAATTGAGCTGGCTGGTTGGTGACGCAGCGACGAACTTCTTCCAACTAAACCTCAACTCGACAAAGTCGGGATATTATCTTCATTTAAGGTAATCTTCATAATCAATTATGGGTGTTCATTCTGTGGTGGTTAAAACACCAATCGCAACTATAGAAAATAAAACAAATCTGTCAAATAAACTGGATCACTGAATTATACGAAACATCAGAGGTTATAACGACTTACGACCCCTTGAAAATATGGTGCAGTCAAAGCACCATCAATTTCAAAATGCTTATTTGTGGAATTAAGCGTCGTACGCGGAAGGTGATGCTTCTTCACTGGTGATTCGTTGGACTGACTGTAGACACTTATTGGAAGGAAACTTCGTACCACATTCAAGTTTTTCACTTAGTTGAAGTCCGATGGAATGATCCTGATGGCTATTTATCAACTTTTGACTGACAGGGAGCGCGAATAGTTCAGCACACAGGAATGTGCCCAGCAACAGTAATCCCTAGGCGCTGAATTTGTTTCGGCGAAATGGGATGACTAATTGGCGATAGAACAAACACTAACAACTGAGATTCCAACAAGCTAAAAGACAACTTTCATAATGATCTGACATTCCGTTTCTACAGTGGTCCACATGATGAGAGTTAGGTTAACAGCTGAAGTGACAATTCTACAAGTCTTCAAAGATCAGATACCATTTATCATCGTAAAAAATGGGCCAAGAAAATATTTCCATTAGAAACAACTAAGTGAATATATGCGAAAATTGGATGCAGCAAATGTTTTCTAAATTAGGACATTTGTTTTATTATTCCAAGTATACTTTTTTATTTCACAAGATCATAAAGAGGGTTTTTAAATGTTTTTTATTTTTTCGCGATCAAATTATGTGAACTGAAAGTCCAGGACTTACGGCCATATTATATATATTTGACACACAACTCAATCAAACAATATTCTGTGTCATATGGAGGTTACTGATTGTACGCACTCCCCTGAATTATTGTGATTTTCATTCTGGTCTAAATTTCTAATGAACTCAGTACATGTGATTTTTTCCTATGTACATAGAAAATTTTTATGATGATTGGAGATGTATTTATTTACAAAGGATAAAGGATGTATAGGTTTATCATTACTACGCTGTGAAAACACACAAAAATTGTGCAAATTAACAGTAATTGAGATGTTTATTCCAGGAGAATGAACTACAGGAGCTCTGTTATACCAGAAGACTCTTCGGGATATGTGGAGTCTCTTATGTCTAATAATTCCAAATTTAATAGTTTTTCGGGAACAGATTTCGGCATTTCTTCAACCAACGAGGGCGAAAAAGAGCTTATCAGCTACTACATTGTAGGTGTATCAATGATAGGGGTTTGCTGCTTCGGTATAGTCGGAAATTTATTGTCTCTCATCGTTTTGACAAGACGTTCCGTTGGGGTTCCACTACAAATACATATCTTATCTCCTTAGCCGTAGCTGATATGTTTGTTCTTATCGCAACAATTCTTACTGCCATAAAGGATTCTAGAAAGCCAGTTGCAAGCAAGTTGTCTTGGCTTGCTTGGCAAGATGCACCCATTGTTCCACGGGCTTATCCATTTTGTCACGCTACGGCAGTATTGTTTCAAGTAAGTACCTATTTGTTGATGTGATTAATGTTGTTACTATAGTTATATGTTTGTAATAACATGCTGAAGTAAAGATGTTCCGTGAAATAAATTAATCAAATATATTATACGGTTGTGTACTGCTTTTACACATCCACAATTCTTTTCCATTCGTCATACAGATGCGATTCCGGTAACATTTTAACTTTATTCCCTAAAAGGCTTCATTCGAGAATTTTGTTAAAAACTATTTTAGATTCTTTGCACAAATCACACTGTTTCATTATTGTGCTGTAAGACGGAAATCATTCTGTGAGTATTTCATTGAGTGAGCTGTTTTAATCGACAACAAATTATCAGAGCTTTTCAGGAAGTCAGACATTTATCTGCTAATAAGTTTGCCTCCCATTTGTCAAATTTTGCAGCCATTTCCTTTTGATTATTGGCTCAACGTTGTTAAGTAAAGATATAGATAGGCAACCAGGGTTCTTCAGGACAAAATGAGCTGCTTAAGGAAACAAAAAGTGATATTAGTACTTAATATATTGGATTCATGAGTTCGGAATTTCAGCTATATGGTGTACTGTTCATGGCACTTAACTGTGTTAATAGTTTGTTAGTTCCAGTGAAGTTTTAAGTTTTTACATTCTACGTTTTGCGTCGTACAGTAAAATATAAATAAAAACCGGAGAAGTGCTAAACCGATTTTACTTTACTACTCTTGCAGTTATTTGATTTATCTGTTTTATTCAGCCTGAAGCCCACGACTGCTCTATCTAAGAGGAAATTTACTTATTCACAACAGCGCTTAATTCATTCCAAAGAGTATGCAAAGATTTGAATAAAACTTTTTAATTTTGGTTCTAACTGACTAGTTTGTGCCATAAAATTACTCGAAGGTCACGTTTATCAAGGAAACAATAAGCATATAATGAAATCAACAGTCTAGAAGAAATAAAGATGTGAAGGTTGCAGATTAAGATGAAGATAACATATAAATGATTTAACCTCGGTAAAGGTATAATTTAATAGCGTCAGTTCGCGTTTCCAGATAATATATCTATGACTTCTTGAGTGAACTGACAAGAAAGCCTGAGTTCCTCTTTAGGGGACATACTGAAGACTGAAGAATAACAAAGCCTTTCTGTTTAGATGTGATAAAATACCTTTAAGTTTCACCATCCTTTCAGTATGATATTATAAACCTACTTACTATACTGGTCTCTTGTGGCAGGATATTTCACCTTAAAGAATTAAGTAATTGTTTCCAGTGGTTGCTTTATCAGACCTTGTTTTAGCTTCAAGATGAGCCAAAGCAAAACTTGAATTTTGATACCGTTGTTGCTATCCGTGATACTAGACAACCGAAGTCACTTTTAAAATAACAATCGTCAGCGTTTTGTTGACCTTCTTTTATACTCAGTTTTTATTGTCATTTTCCCGATATATATCAGAAAATGTCTTTACTTTATAGCAGCAAATATACCAATTAGTAATTACAACGTCAAAAGATAATTAAAGAATATAGACAGCTCTAAAGTAGACCTTATATGAAACATCGTGGTGTAGTTGGTTTGTTTACATGGACTATGTCACCGTAAAAATCTTATGGAGTTTAAAAGCTTCATGGTTAATATAGACTCGATACCTATATGGATATTTTTAAAATATTTTATTTTATATTCATTCCAAAAACTAATGAGCCCTTTGAATCTAATGTAATAGATTATTTGCTATTTTTAAAAATTGAAACTGAAGTAATATTTGCCACAACAAACTAGCTTCACTTATTCAGATAAAGGGATAGATTGTTTCTATTGCTCACGGTGTAAAGCCTGGCTTCATATAGATCAGACTTTAGCTAAATCTGCGTAATTTGTCTTGGTTTATCTCATTTTTTAAATGGCATTGGGGGACTTATTATGCCTTATTTTATGTGAGTTGAGGCGTGTGAATTAGATATACTAAGACTGTGCTGACTTGAGTCTACTAGATTATGGGCATCATACCCATAGCATGATATCCTGTGCAAGTTTTCCACATCTCTTGATTCCGGCTGCCATTTCTGCTAGTCCTAAAGTGGGATGAAATAAAAAGTGCATAGTGTATACTTGGTTTTCGGCAGGTGTCCCGATATACTGTCGTAGCTAAAGTTTAAGCGTTTTGACAAATGTTACACATGCCGCCTATGTCAGTGGCAATTTATTTTGATTTACAGCTTGATTCCATACTGTATTTTTGGTACAGGTATGGAATTTTCAGCATGGATATCGGTAGCCCAAATTTTGCAGGCCGACCATAGATATCAGGTGTGCGCCGGCGTGGGCTCGAACCCCGGACCATGTGCATGGTCGGCGAGAGTCCTAACCACTGTGCCACCGACACCATATTGTCAACAGTCGGTCTGTTTCGGGTGAGTTGACTTTTGGTATAGGTGAAGTGGTGAAGAAATGCAGACGTGATATCCGGCTACCTTGCACACTGCTCAGCAGTTCAATCTGTCCTTCTTTGCAGCAGTGAGACGTGGCCAATAAAAATGAAAGATATGAAGAGGTTAGCTGTCTTTCTACAATATTTATTTGCATGTTAGGTAAGGATGGAAATCACTCGATAATGTTGTGCAGCCACATCGCTCGAGACGAGTGGGGCACGTGTTACACATCAAGTTCTTTGTTCAGAAGTATAAGTTGATATAAGATTGCATTGGAGAAAAAAAACTAGGGGTGGTTAGATCAAAGACTGTCATCAGTCTGTGAAGTTTTTGAGTATTGGTTTGAGCCATGTGGGATTGGGCGGTGAAGGCGGCCTAGTTGCTGTCCTCAAGATGCTAAGAATCAATGGCTGGAGACTGTCAGTAATATGACCTTAGTGGAGCAGATGTATACCCTCCTTGCGTTTGCCTGGATTCATTAAACTCTCATTATTCTCCCCGCTTAATTATTCTTTCTTCTGTAGATTTCCGTCCACATTATGATTTTTTAATTTATCTTTGCGCGTGCTACCACATGGTGTGGCAACCTGAGTCTCCGCGTTTTTATGCAAATTCCTAAGTCGGAAATTCAGTTCAGTTCACTCGACCATTTTTCTTTCTGAGTTACTCTACTTGAAATGGATATAAATTAGTCCTGTAGGACACTCACTCCTCAAAAGTCAGCTAACAGAGTTCAGAAAACTCGGCATTTCATTATTGTCTTTACTTAAAAAAACTATGTTATCTTCATTCATCAAGTTGGCCATGCCTTCACTTAGTAAAATCTGAATTCTCAAGAAGTTCAGATGAAATCACCCCGGTAGGTGCGTACTGTTGAAGAGTCCCAAACTAGGACGAAACATTTGTCCAGTACTCCCAGGTTTTCCAATGGTTCTCTAACTAATATCATGATGAAATCCTGTAACGAAATCACCTCTGTTTTTTCATGTCATAAAACGAGGCAAAAATGTTGACGAACATCGGAAAGTGAAAATTGCTTCAGACACCCACTCACTACCTATGTGTTCTTGTGCATCTTCATTAATTCGTGCAGAATGCATCTCTTTTTTCAATGTGTATGCTCTCAAGATGCGTCATTTAAAGAAAGAAATTGTCACATTTAAAAAAAATATTACTCAGACTGAATGAAAAGAAAGTTTTATTGAATTGACATTTCTTCTAAAATGCTTCCAGAACGCTTTTGGATATTCATGTTTATTCAGACAATTCTTCAGGAAAAAGATCTTTTCTACCTGATCTTCCCGATTGTTACACTTTATAATTTTATCAATTGAACCTTTGACCAGAAACAATTCTGGAACTTTCTCACGCCATTATTATAAGTACACGAATATGCAGCTATCTAGGTGATGACTTCTTCGAAAATAAAAATTTTCTTCGCTGAAACCGTCTTTTTAACAATTCCTACGATCCAATGTGTTTAGTCTGTGATTTGTAGAGAAGCAAGGACTGTTCGACGGTAAAGGGACTGAGTAAGTTTCTACGTGAGTCCATCAAGCTTGCTGGGGAAAATGCAAAGATTTTCTTCCAGAAGAAGAATTGTCTGGATGAACATGAATATCCAAAAGCATTCTGGAAGCATCTCAGGCGAAATCACATATCTCCTAACTCACGTACACTGAATTAACGCTACTGTAAGGTACTTTATTGACTGTAATAGCAGAAGTCTTTTGGGAAATTTAATTTTAAGTAGAATTTTAGAAGTGTTCTTAAATAAGATGGTCCACTCCGACATAGATATATTTAATTTCAGACATTTCAAATAGTCATCTTTTCCTAATATCTGGTCAAATTGTCTTTAAAAAAATCATGAAAAATGCTAAAATTCCGTTGATTTTGAGTGATTCTTTCGTGAATACTTTGTAATGATTATTTAACCTTGACTCATTTCAGAGACTCAGGGATTGATTTGCCACCACAAGGGAATAAACTCATTGACTTAGAATATGCAGATGATATAGTCCTTCTAGGAGGGGACGCTGAAAAAATCCAGCAGAGTCTTCTGAACACATTGAGCTGCAATCTACGATTGGCATGTTTGGCATGCGATTCGCTCCCGACAAATATAAGATGATGTTACAGGACTGGACTACACTGACTCCTAGTTTAGAAATAGGGAGTGAAGTGGTTGGTGGAGCGTGTTGACCGCTTCACTTATTTATAAAGTACCATCAGCCAACACCAACGGGTTGAGCTCTGACGAAATCTCAGTACGGATACAAAGAGCTAGTTTCGCATATGGTAGTTTACGCCGTCTCTGGCGTAGACGCGACATCCGACAATCGACCAAAGGGCAGGTGTACTGCTCATCAGTCCGCTCCGTCCTCCTTTATGGCTGGCTGTGAGGCCTGGACATTGAGAGTGGAAGACATGAAAAGATTAGCTGTCTTTGATCATAGGTGCCTGTGTTCTCTCTCCCTCCCGTGTGAAGTAGTATAATAAGGTGAGCAATATTGAGGTTAGGCATCGATCGAGTGCTAGGTAGGTGGGAGGGGAAATCAATCGACGAGGCTGTGAAATTACATCGACT